GGTGTCGGCGCTGGTGCACGAGGTCCAGAGGCGCCACGCGTCCCTCACGGTCGTTGCATTCCGCCAAGGCTGAACCACGTTCAGCTCGTAGCTAGCCTCCTCGACCGTCTGTGGGGGTTTTTTGGGTTTCTTGGCTCCGTCACCCCTGCTTGCCGACTCCGCGGAGCCACCGTCGCTCGGCGATTGTTCGTTCGCAGCTGGCGGCGCCTCCGGCATCCTACGAGCTTCTGAAACGCGGAGAGCCTCGGTGAGGCGGGTTATCTCGTCCGTCATCGACGCGATGGTAGCGTCGCGCTGCTCGAGCTTCTCCTCGAGGTCGATCTTCTCGACCGCTGACCGCTCCCTCTCGAGCTTCAGCGTCGTTGTGAGGGAGACGACCGCGTACTGGGCGTCATGGCGGACCGATATCTCCTGCAATGTAGGCGAAAAACGGTGCAGGTGAGGTGTTGTCATCGGGCACAGTGCTCATGGCGATGTCGACATAAAGATGACTCACCTCTGGCTGGATGAGGGTTGGGTCTTGCCGCTTTTTGATGGTCTCGGTGTCGGTCTTCTCCACCCTCTTCGCCCAGTGCTGGAAGAGGGGAATCCGGCAGAGCTTGGAATACTGGACGTACGGGTGCCAAGGCGTGCGGACGAGTTTCACAGCGAGGTCCTCGGCGACAATGCGGCGGAACATCTGGAGGGTGCGCCAGAAATGCACGGCAGCAACGTCGGCGTCGGACCCCTTCTTCGCGAGTTCTTCCGCCTGCAATTAGACAACAGACGTGGGTAATTACCGTGGTTGAAAGTACAGTGCCATGCGATGCTTGGTCGGTACCGATCGACATACATTCTTAAGGAGCTCGTCGACGCCGGGGAAGATGTGCTCGGCGATGAGCTTGAGAAGCTCGTCCGACGGTTCCACCCTGCTGCGCCCCAAGAAGTAGTCCTGCGTGTAGCCCGAATAGCCGGCCTTCTTCATCACCACGCCGACGGGAATGGCTGTGATGTAGGCTCGAGTCATCTTGTCGAGAGCCCAGTGACCCAGCTCGGCTATCTCGGCGCGAGGCGTACCGTTGATGGCCAGCTCCTGCGCCCCGCCTGCCCGAGCGGCATGGACGTTCCGCTTGCAGTACACCCCGTTCGTCTTCCACATCTGCCTCGTCCATCGCTGGTGGCTGGCAGCGGAGAGTTCGCCCTGCTCGGGGTCGTTGCGGGCGAAGAACAGGTGCTTCTTGTACCAGCGCTCGCGTGTGCTGGTGTCGACCGGCGGAATGAGGTCGACGCCGTGAAACTGGCCGATCTGGTCGAGGATGAAGTGTAGCCACAGTCCGGTCTCGCCGACGGCGCACAATTCCGCTTCGAGGTGCCGCGCGGCGTAGCTCTGCTGAAGACGCGCATCCTTCGACGTCTTCGAGTTCCGCGCGGCGACCACCATGACGACCGGCTGGTTATCCGGGTTTACCGACGAGGTGCTCGCCAATCCGTACAAGAAGATGTCGGGGAGCGTGATCTCGCGGATGCTTGCACCGCGCATGAGGCTGTGGTGGGAGAGCAGCGTGAGCACCTTGACGAGAAGGAACCTCCACAGCGTCTGCGAGGGAGTGGTGAAATGCGGGCTCCATGCCGACGCCGCCCAAGCCGGCAGCACCCTCGTCATGATCTGGCGGAACTGTTCGGCGGTGTATGTGTCGCCGATGGTGCCGCGTCGACGGTCGGCGCAATTACTGTCGACAGAACAATACGGCGGTAGGATTATTAGGGCGATGGGAACAAATCGTCACCGACTAGAAAACGGCGCTGGATGCCAACTTACTTGATGTCCCTCTGGTTTTTGGTGCGGACCATGACCCGCACCTCCGACCGGACAACCGAGATTTCTCGCATGATGCCCAACTCCTTCTCCTTGTACAGCGTCGCTTCCACCCTCGCCGCCATCTGGCATGCCTTGATGCGGCCGAGGATCATGTGCACCGTGTAGGACGGCACCGGCGCGTTCGTCTCGGCGTCGATCTTGAACTCCCGCCTCATGAACTTGACGTAGGCGCGCAGCCGCGTCGGAGTGACCTTGGGGCCGTGCAGCCAGATGTGCTTCCGTTTGACCACCTTCGGGTTGTCCCAATCCTTGCTCTTGTTGCAGTGGATCCAGTGCCCGATCTCGTCGACGTGCCTAGTTCGTTCCCCGATCGGCAGCTTGTCGCCTATCTCTTTGAGCATCTTCGCGGCCCACCTCTTGTAGTGGTAGATCCATGAGATGTAGGACTGGAGCGTGCTCTTAGCCTCGATGGTTTTCAGGTGGCGCAATGCCTCCATCACGAGCACGTCGACGCACGCGTACACCATATCTTCCTCTACGAAGTCGGCCGCCTTCCACTGTTCTCGAGGGACCGACGTGTTCATCAGATCCTCGAGCTCGTCCTCGTCCAGAAGTTCCTCGATGAACGCACGTTCCCCCCTGAGCTTTTCTTCCAACGTGCGCGGACCTGGGCCACGTCGGGGCCGCGCGTCGGCTTCGTCGTCCTCGTCGCTCGCCGAGGAGTACCCTAAACCCTGGTCGCCCGCTACGTCCGGCACCGACGACGGCCCGGCCTCCGCTGCATTCGTCGGTGCCGACGTGTCTTTGCTTGGTTTCGTGAACTCCCCTATGGGCGCGGGTGGAACGTCCTTGGTGAACTCTCCCTTCGGGATTTGGGCCAGGGCGTCGAGATCGTAAAGCAGGGGCAGCGTCGACGAGGGGTTACTGTTCGGTGTACGATCTACCGGGCGGACATCCTCACCCTGGCTAGCGGGGTTCGGAACGTCCGTCATGTCGACGTCGGCGGGTGGTGGCTGCGGTTGCGGCGGTGTCGAGCGAGGCTGTGCTCCGGCCATGATACCGCGACCTAGGGTCTCGCGATGGGAAGTCGGTGTGGTGAGGTTGGTGAAATGAAACATGGCGATTCTAAGTCGGCGGTATCTGACAGGTCGGCATCGCAGACAACACTACGAGACGGCGGCCCCGACGTCTGACTATTCTGACGACGCCGACGTTCCACGTCTGCCGACAATCTCCCGATGGAAAAAAAACTAAGGGCGAGCCGTCAAGGGAACGGGGAAAAAATCTAAGTGCCAGCTAACGGATGAAAAGCACAGAGAACGGCAGGCAGAATGAGCGACCTGCAATTGGACCCCAGATTGGTATGGTCGTGAGCGACTCCGCTCCACTTGGCGCTCCACGCAAACCCCTGTGCAGGACGCAGCTATGCATGTACGCTCGTGCGGCGGCGCCGTGACCGACGTGCCACCGGGCGTGCATGCTTGAAGCGCTTCGCTCATAATGCGCCTTTCATGGGTGTTACACGCTGGCTCTGTGGTGCGGTACGTGGCGTGGTCCCAGCGCGGTAGTTCGAGGGCGGGAGACACTGCCGCGTGGCACCACGATGAAGACCTTCTGGTCGACGCCGACATTCCCGCCAGTATCCACTGCACCTAGGCAGAGGTAGTGGACGGTCGGATTTCGCCTTGGGCATGTGGGCAACCGTTGGATGATGGCCGTGTGGTACGCACCGACCTGGCAACGCTTGGGCGCGAAGTTTTCCCACGCGAAGCACCCCCACCTTCCGTTGGCCCGTCGTGGCCACCCTGGCTGTCCACGATGGCCCCGCCATCCAGGGGTCGATCTCGGACGTCTCTTTTTTGGCCGCGTGGCGATCATCGCGGCCCCGCGTGCCGAGCTGGGATGACGTCACGCGGCTGAGACGACCTTCTCGGGATTGTCTCAGCGGAACCCAAGGTCGACAGGTCGTCGACAATCCCGAGGGGTCACCAGCACTGGGCCCAGCCAGCTCGCCTGGGCTTTCCACGCGGTGGTCGTCGTGGGGTCGACAACCCCGAGGAGGGGGGTTGTCCGTTGTGGCCCGCGAAAATGGGCGGCATTTTTCGTCCGCTGAGCTCTATTATGCTGTAATTCCTCGTGTGCTGCCTGCCCTGGTTGCTGGTCGGTGGAGAGGAGAGGTGAAAATGTTTGTGACACCCTCAAGTTGATTTGGGTTTCCCTGTGGCCCAGAAAAGAGGCTGCCGAGAAGTGCTTCTTCAAATCTGCTCAAGCGCTCGGCACGTGGTACTGTAGGGTGAAACCAGATTTGCTGCCCTTGTCTGACCTGCCTGCTTCCCCCCGTCTCCGTACAGTAGTTCAATATCGTCCAAGTGAAAGAAAGCAATTTATTTTGTTCCTTTGGTCCTTCAAATGCGTGCTTACATAAGGTATACACACATTGCCACAAAACAAAACGTTGCACGGGGTAACTTTCAAGGGGTGTGTCACACTGGAAAACAGGACACATACGTATTTTCTGCACCAGCATATCCCTCAAACAAGGGTCGACTCGACCCTTGAAAAAGACTTGACTGGTCCGCAGCACATCAAATTGACAGACTGCGCGTGCGAGAGTGGTTGTTCATTCCAAGTTCACGACGACCTTGTTCACGGATCCCGTGAATCATGATGCGATCATTCGACTGAGGGGAAAGAGTCCATTGATGGGTGTCTGGGCTCTGGGCAATATCGCTGCTGCTGGTAGGTCCCGTAGGGGGGAGCTGCAGGGGCCTTCAGGCGGAGCAACCTCCCAAAAAAACATTGGGAAAGTGGATCCCGAAACGGCCTTGCCTCCACAGAAGTCGTTCCTGAGGGTGCTGTCATGAGAAAACAAGTGGATCTCGAAAAGGCATTGCCTCCACACAAGGCGTTCCTGTGGGTCTTTGTTTGAAAGGCTGGGAGGGAGAGATGGAACAAACACTGCGAACAGATGCACACGAACCGAAGCTTTCAACGCGGGTTTTGTATCCAGTAACGACGTATCTTTTTTGTAGGGATGGGATAGACCGTCGCTCGCAGCAGAGTTTACCGTGGCGACGGCGTCTGTGAAACAGCGGAACGCGCGGCGAAAGTCGTGGCGACAGAACACACGGCACGCCGTCGAAAGAGGCTGAAAAGTCGCACAGCAGATGGAAGGCACAGCTCTTCCGCCAGAACTAGCGCAATGGCGCGAGCAGGAACTGGCCCAGAGACTGTCAGCGCGTCAGCCGGCGCAGCCGTCAGCATGGCTCACGCGCACGCTATCGCAGCCGCAACAACAGCTGCTGTTGCCGCAGCAACCATTGCTGCAGCATCCAGTGCTGCCGCCTCAAGCGCAAGCGCAAGCGCAACACTCGCTGCACCGGGAAACGTCTATAGAGGAGCCGTCGCCGAATGAAGAGTCGTCGAAGCGAGTCCAAGCCGCCGAGCAGTCCCTGCCGCGTGTAGATTCTTTGCGACAAAAGCCGCAGCTGCCGGAACTCTCTTGGGGCGAGGGGGACAGCGGCGGGCATGCGGTGCGTTTCGGCGAGCCCGGTTCGCTGGGATTTCGCATGATGTTTCTCGATCGCCGCGATCGCATCGTTTCGCCGTGGCACAACATCCCGCTGTACGGCGAAAACAGCTGGTTGAACTGCGTTTGCGCGACTCCCTCCGGCACTTGGTTGAAGCACGAATTCGCACCCGAGGAATACACTCCGCTGCGCGTCGCTCCGAAACGCGGAGAACCGTCGCACTTTTGCGACAACGCCGCGTGGAACCTCGGCCTGCTGCCGCAGACGTGGCAGGACCCGGAAGAACTCGTCGAGGAATTTCCGGGCATGATGGGTTGCGGCAGTCCCTTGGAGGTGATAGATGTTTCGGGCGGACTGCCCGCGGATTTAGGGCAGGTTTACACGATCAAGCCGCTCGGCGTGATTCCAGTTGTGCGCGAGGCTGGATTGGCCTGGGTGGTGGTGGGGATCGGCGCGGGAGATTTGTTGGCGAGCCTGATGAATCACGTTGATGACGTGTACGCGCTGCTGCCGGGAACAATGGAATCCGTCATGCATTGGCTGACGATATGCGACACCACTGAACCTGGTGAGGCTCCTTGTTTGCGATTGGATAGGGCGAGGTTGACGATTTTGTCTTATCGTCAGAACGCATGAGTCGCGGAAGGTCGATGAGCTGCTGAACTGACGTGGCTGTTATGCTTTGACAGGCCTCGAGGTCCCTCGGGAACTTCTCGGGATCCTGGAGGTCCCTGCGAAGAAGTCAGGGACGAAATAGTTGCGTTGGTATTCGTGTTGGTGCCAGAACTGTACAGTTCTGAGCTCGCAAACACATATATTTGTGTGATCTCGATCTATCCAGGCTTCAGCACCACTGACGGAATGGGGGAGATGGGCTGAAGATTAACAATGAAGAGAAGTCGCATGCTTCAGTAACCTTCCTCTGGACTAGTTTCCGGTTCTTACATCCCCTATCTGCTTTCTGATCCGTACCGTCTTCCTCCACAGCCACATTCGGTTGGATCCTGGAGTCTAAATTCGAACGACTTATTCGTCTGTTCTCCCCTGCTTCCAGGAGACCCTTCAGCAGTGCTAGCCAGTGACGACAGCTACGGTGCAGACAAGGCTCTTGAGGTGATAGCACAGGCGCACGCGGCATGGCAGCTGTTTCTCCACAGCAACGTTCAACCTAATCCCTGGACTGAATTGGACTCAACTCTGAGTAACATTTTCCTCTATTTCCCCCTGCTCCCAGGAGACCCCCCAGTGTTGCTAGCCTCTGACGACAGTTTCGGTGCAGAGAAGGCCCTAGAAGTAATCGCACAGGCGCACGCGGCGTGGCAGTTGTTCCTCCACAGCAACGTGCAGCCGGAGCCCTGGCGACCGGATCTGGACGTGTTCTCCACCCACGTGCTGCAGGCGTGCTGGCGCAAGTACACTGACGGGCAGAGCGCTGCGGTGCTCCCTGTATCGTGTGAGCGGCGGGAGGAGAGCGTTCCTGGAGACGCTTATAACGGGGATGAGATGCTGGGGGTTGGATCGGTGGTGTTTGGTGCGGTTGATGGAGTTATGGCGGGTGAGGAGGGGATTCAGAGGCATGAGAGAGGGTCCGGGGGTGCAGGAAAGGATGTGGCAGCAGCAGGATCCAGGCAGGGTTCTGGGAAGGTTCCTGAAGGGCGGAGCAAAGGCGGGAGGCTAAGCCGAATATCACCATCGGCAGTAGCACCTACCACCGCCACCACTGCTGCTGCTGCCGCTGCTCTCCATCCAGAAGCAGGAACAGCAGCAGCTGGGAGGGGAAACGACGGAAAAGGAGGAGGGGAAGGAGAGGCCGCAGCAGCGGCTTGTATGAAAAGGCACTCGCCGTCCACCCCCTCTGCCAAAGGCTCCACCTCCAACAAGATGAGCTTCTTCAGGTCACGCCTCCCCAGCCTGCCTCCACCCCCACCGCCCTCGCACTATGACGACGTCATCTCAGCAGAAGCAAAGTCAGCATCCGCATTGGCAGCGCGGCACCCCATCAGCTTTGAGAGCAGTGGGGGTTACAGCGGCAGCAGCAGTGCGCATGGGAAAGGGGCGCGAGCTTGGAGCCCTCTATCTGTGCTGCGCTCCAAGTCCCCTGGTGGTTACCAGAGCAACCATAGCAGGCAGAGCAATCACAGCATGGAGAGAGCGGCAGGTGACAGCAGCAGAAAATCTCCTGGTAGTCACCAGAGCGGTGCAGCAGGGGTGAGCAGCGAGGGTCAGGATAGGGAGTTAGGGGTGGGTAACCAGTGGGCTGCTGTTAGGCAGGTGAGGCACGGTGCAGGCAGCCAATCGCCAATGGGTGGTAGACCACCCAGCAGCCCGTCCCTGGCCGGTGGCAGACCACCAAGCAGCCCGTCCCTAGCCAGTGGTAGACCACCCAGCAGCCCATCTCCTGTGGGCGGTAGACCACCCAGCAGCCCATCTCCTGTGGGCGGTAGACCACCCAGCAGCCCATCTCCTGTGGGCGGTAGACCACCACTCAGCAGCAGCAGCAGCGTGTCTCCAGGAGGCCAGAGGGGGCGAGACAGCAGGTCGCCCGGAGAAAGGTCGATGGTGCCCAGGTCTCCAAGGGAAAGGATTCTGAGGCCTAAGTCTCCAAAAGGGATTCTGCCTGGCTTTGCCTTGGCAGCTCTTGGGGGCGATTTGCGAGTAGGTGGTGCTGTTGGTGGTACTACTGCTGATGCTGGTTTGCCTGCTGCTGGTGCTGCTGCTGCTGCTGCTGCTGCTGGTGCTGCCGCTGCTGTTGATGATGGTGGTGTCTTGGGTACAGCTGCGTCTGAGCTTGCCAATGCTGATGGTGATGGTGTTGATGGTGCCGCTTCAGCAGTCTCACCTCCGTCTGCCACTGCTACATGTAACCCACTTGCTGAAGCAGGTAAGCCTACGAGAAGCCGGTCCCTGCAGCACAGAGTGTCTCAACGCGGCCTGCACCTGCACCTGCCAGGGGTGGCACGCAGAGGCGTGCAGAACCTACCAGCGGTGGGCAAGGCAGGGATGCAGCAGCTGCCTGTTGTGTCTCCCCGCGCGCTCAAGTTGCCTGAGGTGGCGAAGAAACTGATTGGGGGATTGTCCGGCTGGCATTCAGGGGAGGAGCGAAGCAAGGAGACGGACAGAGACAGCGACAGGGACAGAGAGAGGGGCACAGAAAGAGACAGAGGGGACAGGGACAGGAGGGAGAGAGAAAGGAGGGATGTCGCAGGGCACTCCTGCCTGGATTCGCACGCACAAGCGCCGATCGCTTGGGAGAGCGATGTGTTCCCAGTAGAGAGGCTGCTGGCGGGGATGCTGGAGGGGCAGAGCTCACACCCACTGGGCCTGGCACGGTCCAGGCAGTGTGATTTGCACACAGACCTGGCACAAACCAGACAGGCGGACACGGTGTGCGCCCGTATTCCCGAGGGTGATGGGCTGCTGCGTCGGCATCGCAGTGAGAACCTGTCTGCGCGTGGGGCGTTTCAGCACCAGCTGGGGGATGGTTGGAAGCATGGGTTGGAGGATGGTGGGGTGGATGGTGGGGGGGGTTGGGGGCAAAATGGTTGTGAGGTGGACAGGCTGCTGGTGAAGCTTCTGGAGGCAGAAGGTGTATGTGCGGATACGGCAAAGGCAGGCAGTGATGCTGCGATTGAGATGCTGCACCGGCTCCGCAGTGAGAACGTCTCAGGGCACAGCTCTGCGTATCCTGCTGTGCTGCTGCGGGCAGTGCCTGAAGGAGGAGGAGGAGGTACTGTCGAGGTGCCTACAGTAGCAAGAGCGGGAGCAGGGGGGATGGCAGGGGCAGCGGGGAAGGTGGGGCCAGCGGGGACGGCGGGAGTAGTAGCAGGAGCTGGAGCAAGGAGAAAAGGAGCAGAAGCAGCAGCAGCAGCAGCAGCAGCAGTGGTAGTGTCAAGCCACTCTGGCATGGCATGTGAGCCCACAGCAAAGGGGGAATTGTCATCTTTTGAGTCGACTCGAAAGTCAGCTTTTGAGTCGACTCAAAAAGCAGCAGTGGTAGAGTCAAGCCACTCTGGCATGGCATGTGAGCCCACAGCAAAGGGGAAATTGTCGCAGAAAGGCGGGCAGCGGGGTGATAGACACTGCTTTCCTCATTCCAAGTCTCTACCCCCGGCCTTAACTGGAGGAAGGTGGAATGAGGAGGAAATCTTGCGCCCGGTTTTGACTGTGAAAGGCGTTACTGTTCCTGGAAACTCAGCTTCTGCTATGTCCAGGGTTGATTTTCCTTCAGATAATGCAGACGTTTTTGCTGTCATGGAGCACAGACAGCCACAGAGGCAGAAATGGATGCAGCTGCAGCAGCAGCTACAGCAGCAGAACCAGCAGGGTGCCTCAACAACCCCTTTAGCAGCAGCACAGGCTGACAGGTTTCGTCGCACTCTCTCTGCCCCCCGCCCCTCCCTACCCGCACCCCACGCCTCCATCACTCCTTTTCTTGTCCCGCCATACCAAATGCTCCCAACTCTACCTCTTTCCTCCCCACCACCCTCCAAATCCAACAACTCTCAGTCCCCTCGGCCGTCTGCCTCTGCGCCCCGGCGCCGCTCCTCGTCCTTCTCAGGGTGTGGAAGCTCGGGCGTTGGTTCGCCTGACTGCTCCAGCACCAAACACCCCCCTGCATTCAAAGCATTTGATGCTACAACCGCCCATGCTACAGCCGCCCATGCTACAGCCACCCATGCCACAGCCGCCCATGCCACAGCCGCTTATGCCACAGCTGGCCAGCAAGAGCGAGAGCTGTTAGAGTATTTATACCTGCATGAGCAGCACCAATACCAGCATCAGCAGCCCGAGCAAGAGCAAGAGCAGCAGCAGCAGCAGCAGCAGCAGCAGCAGCAGCAGCAGCAGCAGCAGCAGCAGCAGCAGCAGCAGCAGCAGCAGCAGCAGCAGCAGCAGCAGCAGCAGCAGCAGCAGCAGCAGCAGCAGCAGCAGCAGCAGCAGCAGCAAGTGCGAGAGCCGCTAGAGTATTTATACCTGCATGAGCATGAGAAGAAACGATACGGGCATCAGCAGCCAGAGCAAGTGCAACAACATCAACAAGAGCCAGAGCAAGAGGTGCTGGAGTACTTGCACCCCCTGCATGACAGTGAGAAGAAACTCTGCGAGCATCGGCAGCAACAGCATACGTTTCGGCATTATCAGCCTTATCAGCAGCAGCAGCAGCAACAACACACGTTTCAGCATCATCAGCCTTATCAGCAGCATCAGCAGCAGTGGAATGCAGGGGACGAGTCTCAAATGCCGCTCAGCCTGCCACTGCCAGAGCCACCAGTGGACCCTGGGGAAGGTGAGTATGAGGAGTTAGGCAGGAGGAGAGAGGAGAGAACGGGAACAGTTGCCTATGTGCAAGAGCAAGACGGGTGCGAGCAGGAGGAGCGAGAGCAGCAGCAGGTGGACTTGAGAGAGCTAGATGTGGTGGGATTGGTGTCGAGGGGAGGTGGGGGGGAACGGGACGAGATAGCTTTTGAGACGTCTCGGGTGGAGAGAGAGCAGGAGGAGCAGGAGCAGCAGCAGGTGGATTTGAGAGAGCTAGATGTGGTGGGGTTGGTGCTGAGTCGAGGTGGGGGTGGAAAGGAAGAGACGGGGGCTGAGGTTGGATGTGATGAGCTGAATGGGATCCGGACTCCGGATGGTCGGAGGATGCAAGGGCTGAGTGTGCTGGCGGAGCAGCAAGGAGGATGCTGGCAAGATTGGGAGGAGTTGGGAGCGGTGCAACAGCAGGAGAAACAGTGGCAGTTGCTGCAGGCCCAAAGCCAATGGGGGCGGCAACACCTGGATCATCAGCTGCAGCAGCAGCGGCACCATCAGCAGCATGTGCACACAGAAGTAAGAGCGGCAGGTGGAGGTGCAGGGGCAATGGCAGGGGTAGTGCAGTTGAGGCGCAGTCAAACGGAGGACTGGAGGGCGCACAGGACACTGGTGGCTGAGGCAAGGGGGCAGCACCAGCAGCACCAGCAACAGCACCAGCAGCAGCACCTGCAACAGCACCAGCAACAGCACCCGCAACAGCAACCGCAACAGCACCTGCAAAGAACAGCGGCAGCAGCAGCAGGTGAAAGTGCAGGAGCAGGGGCAGGGCAGCTGAGGCGAAGTCATACGGAGGACTGGAGGGGTCACAGGGCAAGGGTGCAGGATGAGCAGCACGCTCAGAACCAGCAGCACTTGCAAAGAAAAGCAAGAGCAGCAGATGCAGGTGAAGGTGCAGGGGCGTGGGCGTGGGCAGGGGCAGGGGCAGGGGCAGGGGCAGGGGCAGGGGCAGGGGCAGGGGCAGGGGCAGGGGCAGGGGCAGGGGCAGGGGCAGGGGCAGGGGCAGGGGCAGGGGCAGGGGCAGGGGCAGGGGCAGGGGCAGGGGCAGGGGCAGGGGCAGGGGCAGGGGCAGGGGCAGGGGCAGGGGCAGGGGCAGGGGCAGGGGCAGGGGCAGGGGTAGGGGTAGGGGCAGGGCAGTTGAGGCGCAGCCATACGGAGGACTGGAGGGCCAACAGGATACTGGTGGCGGAGGCAAGGGGACAGCATGAGCGGCAGCAGCAGCAGCACCAGCAGCAGCACCAGCAGCAACATGAGTGGCACCATCAGCAGCAGCAGCACCAGCAGCAGCAGTGGCAGCATGAGCGGCGGTATGAGTGGACCTCTGGCTGGGCTGATAGTCGCACTGCTGAGCCTTGTCTTGACTGGCGCTCGCTTTGGCGACCCCAACAAGCTGCGCATGTGCACGCTCCTGTCGCTGATGCCACTGGTGGTGCGGACGGTGTTGCTGCTGAGCGTTCTTTTGACTGGCACTCGCTTTGGCGACCCCAACAAGCTGTGTTTGGTGCTGATGGTGGCGGTGCTGGTAGTGGTGCTGGCAGTGGCAGGGCAGCAGCAGCGACCAGAGGGGAAGCATTCAGTGGAACCTGGTCACCTTCTGGAATCGCTTCTGAGAACTCTCAAAAGCCACTCAGTGGAGGCTGGTTACCTTCTGCTGTGGAGGGCACACTCTATGGCGAGATGACTTGTGAGTCGACTGGAAAGGCAGCAGCAGCGGGCAGAGGGGAAGCATCCAGTGCAGGCTGGTCACCTTTTGCTGTGGAGAGCACAAGGCCACTGTATGACCGCACCATGACCCTCGACAGACACAGCTTCAGGGGCTGGGGCACACGCACAGGCGCAGGCGCAGGCATGGGCATGGGTGTGGGCATGGGCGCGAGTCAAGTGGGTGTGGGTGTGGGTGTGGGTGTGGGTGTGGGTGTGGGTGTGAGGGAGGGTGATGAGATGGGAGTGCCTCAGCTGGAGCGCAGGAGGACAGTGAGCAGAGTGAGGTTCAGTGAGGATGTGGATGTGGTGATGTTTCAAGAGGCTGACGTCGCATCTGCTGTGCTGAGATGCTGACATGGTATGAGCTGTGCTGCGATGTCGATGTGGCAACTGTTGTGCTGCGGCGATGCTGATGTGGCACCTGCTGTGGTGCGCTGCTGCTGTTGGTGCTGCAACTGCTGCAAGTGGTACTGCTACTGCTACGAATGGTGCTGCTGCTATTGCTGTGAATGCAGCAACTGGAATAACAGCTGCTTGCCGCACAGATGGTCAATAAAGCAGGGCCCCTTACTGGATGTAGGCTTCGACTTGGGGTTGGATGATTTCCTGTGGTTCACGGGATGGTGTCTCAAGGTACATCTGCTGGAGTGAGGAGATCATACACCTGGTGTTGACAGTGAAAAAGATGAGTGTTGAGGCGCCTCAGGGCGTGTTCCTACGGCCCCTTATCAGGCCCCATCATTCCTCCCCATGCATATTGCATAATAATAAACTAGGGGCACCTCATAGTTGAAAGCACAAGATCTGCTTGACATACGGTACATTATCTTTTTACCGTATTTCTAGGACCAACTTCATTCAGAGCTAGAACACAATCTATTGCAGCTTGTTGAAGAGCATTTCCACCCATGCATCTGTAACTCCTCCTTCGCACCAATGAAGGCAGTCGTTCTTCCTTGTATCTGGTGCTCCCCCTGTGGCAAAACCGGGACATTAGATTGGTCACAAAGTGTGTCCCACATTTTTTTTTTGTACCGGTAATAGGGCATCAAACCAGCATTGCGTTCATACATATCTTGCCAGTCCAAAGAAACATTCCAACGACTCACCTTTGACGCTCCAGTTTTGGATGTGTCCATCGGGCCGCGAGTCGCTCATGGGGTTCACATCCACGTATGCCACCGGCGACCCCGCGAGAACACGCTGCTGGATGGCCCGCAGATCGCTAGAGGAGCTGTCTCCACTGCGCACGGTGGCTGCCTGAGGAGACAGGTTGGTATGGAGGCAAAGGCGAGACGTTACGAATGGATGCCTGACACGGAACCCCTTCAATGTAAAAACAAAAGCTGGTTACCGTACCTATTCCCTTCCCTCTTTTCCGGTCTTCTTTCACAGAGGTGCTCCCCCCTTCCCTGCACTTCCCCTCGCTCTCTCTCCCCCCCCCACTATGCTTCTCCCTCCCGCCCGCGCTTCCCTTTCCCACCCGCGCTTCCCCCTCCCATCTGCTCTCCCCCCTCCCACCTGCGCTCCCCTTTCCAACCTGCGTTCACTTACCTGCGCGCTGGTGAGCATGGAGTTGACTTACCTGCGCGCCGGTGAGCATGGAGTTGACTTACCTGCGCGCCGGTGAGCATGGAGTTGACTTACCTGCGCGCCGGTGAGCATGGAGTTGACTTACCTGCGCGCCGGTGAGCATGGAGTTGACTTACCTGCGCGCCGGTGAGCATGGAGTTGACTTACCTGCGCGCCGGTGAGCATGGAGTTGACTTACCTGCGCGCCGGTGAGCATGGAGTTGACTTACCTGCGCGCCGGTGAGCATGGAGTTGACTTACCTGCGCGCCGGTGAGCATGGAGTTGACTTACCTGCGCGCCGGTGAGCATGGAGTTGACTTACCTGCGCGCTGGTGAGCATGGAGTTGACTTGGCACGACCCCTTCTTGACGCCCGCCACGGGCAAGTTGTAGTGCGCCGGCGACACGCCCATCACCACGGCGCGCCCCTTGAACCCACCGGCGCCGGCGCTGCCCGCCACGTAGTCCCGCAGCGTCGCCAGTCCGCGCTCGTACGCCGCCGTCGCATTCATCGTCGTCGCCTCCTTGCCGCCCACATACCAAACTCCCATGCGGCGTCCCCTCACAGAACTTTCACGCCATGCGGCGTCTCAAACTCCCGCCTTTGCAAAATAGTATCGCGAGGTGCATCTTGGGGGTGCCGGGTAGTGATGGAAGATTCAGGGACATGTCAAGTGGTGAAGAGGAACAGTGGGTCTTCTGCTGGGAGGGAGGAAGTGAGTCGTTCAGGGGGACGCGATGCGGTTCGTCTTGGTGGTGGGGGAAACCAAATCGATGCACTATTGATAGTATCACTTACCGCATTTCATTCACACCATTTGACGAACCGCATGTGATGGCGGCCCGAGCTTTGACGAAGGTGCAGCCGTCAATTGACATGCAGGTTTCGCGCAAACGGTTGCGACGTGTTCCTTGCGCCACACGTCGCAACCAGTTTGCGAAAATCTCAATATCGAGAGTCTCGATACCCTACTTCGTGTTAGAAATATGTTTACTGTGAATTTTGTTAATCTGCACACGTCTTACTAGATTACATCATCTATCGCTTGTGCATGCACTCGTTGTTTGCGCATGTGGCCGCCAAATTCAGTGTTCAGAAACACAATCTTCACCTCGGAAATTCGCTAACAGAGAAACAAGCAGATTGGAATTTTCGATCACGACATACCATTTTCACTGAGTTTTTTAACTGTACATATCGAATACAATTGGATTGAGAGCTATGTGTTACGAGTGCAAATCTCTCAGCGGAAACGGGTCGTCAAGCCTGACGACCCTCCGACGACCTGACGACCTCCTGCCCCGGGCAGAAAAATACTAAACCCCCATCGGATGGCATGCCATCCGAGGGATGCATCAACCCTAAATCAATGCCTACTCGTGTTTAGGGTTGATGCCTCCCTGACCGGATGCATGCCCGACTGGTTGTTGTTTTTGTTGTTGTTGTTGTTGTTGTTGTTGTTGTTGTTGTTGTTGTTGTTGTTGTTGTTGTTGTTGTTGTTGTTGTTGTTGTTGTTGTTGTTGTTGTTGTTGTTGTTGTTGTTGTTGTTGTTGTTGTTGTTGTTGTTTGTTGTTTTTTTTTTTTTTTTTTTTTTTTTTTTTTTTTTGCCCGCGGGCAGCAAGCTCCTCCGGACGACTCGCTTGTCCACGAGTGAGCGAGCGAGAATTGTTGGAATTAAGGTTAATTCGTGTTGCAAGATTGGACAAGCGAGATTGGCTAATAATATTCGGCCAATTGAGCGAGCGAGCGAGAATTGTTGGAATTAAGGTTAATTCGGGTTGCTCCAATAAACATTTGTTGTGCTAGATACACATTATAGTAGTGTAGAATACATTGGTTGGGTTGGGAGAACTTGTGGTGTACACTCTTTAGAGTGGACCACCTCCCAAACCCTATAGGTTAGGGTTCTCTCTTGTTGAAACTTCACTTCTTGCAAACCTCTTTGGTTCTATCATGGTTCTGTCAGAGGTCCACTGGTGATCCCCGATTGATCCTAAGGAAGGGTTACAGGCACGTTGGCCTGGGGGGTTATGGGCGCACTCACCCGCTACACAAACAAGCCCTTTTATCCCAGTGGTTAGTGGCTGGGATTCTGACATGGTATCAAAGCGAAGGTCTCGGGTTCGAATCCCGGTGTGTGCACCTCGGGCATCCCAGTGCGAGGGGGTGTCAGAGGTCCACTGGTGATCCTCGATTGATCCTAGGGAAGGGTTACAGGCACGTTGGCCTGGGGGGTTATGGGCGCACTCACCCGCTATATAAACAAGCCCTTTTATCCCAGTGGTTAGTGACTGGGATTCTGACATGGTATCAGAGCGAAGGTCTCGGGTTCGAATCCCGGTGTATGCACCTCGGGCATCCCAGTGCGGGGGGGTGTCAGAGGTCCACTGGTGATCCCCGATTGATCCTAGGGAAGGGTTACAGGCACGTTGGCCTGGGGGGTTATGGGCGCACTCACCCGCTACACAAACAAGCCCTTTTATCCCAGTGGTTAGTGGCTGGGATTCTGACAGGTTCGAGCCCAAGTTGGCTCCTAAGATTCCTAAGCTTTAGGAGAAAGACCATTCTAACAAGAATTGCACTATCGAAGCAAAAAAGTACAATGAGCGAAAGATTGAGCGAACAATTTATATAGCGAAGCTAGCGTGGTAACGGTAATGTGTGAAAATGGGGTGCGCTACGGGCCTAGCGCCGAGGTTGGGAATTGTCGAGGCGGAGGTCAGGAGCATGGGTTACTAGCCGAGCTGTTAGGTTGCGTCGCGTCGTGAGTAGTGGCGGGAATAGTGGTCGAGGCGAGTGTCGCGAGTGGTAACGGTGTACTGTTGGGAACTGTTGGTGGAAACAGTGGTGTACCCGCTGAGTAGGGATGCGAAGTAAGGAAAAGGAAATTTCCTTACCCCTCCCCTCCCCCCCCTCTTCCCCTAAGGAGGCCCTCCTTACGAGAGCGCGTGTACGTCCCAGAAGTTTCGGCTGCACAGGTACTCGGTAAGGACAGGGTGGTTCTCGATCCTATCCAGGGGAACCCAGTTGTCTTCGGTGGGCGTGCGGTCTTTCCACCGGATCATGAACTCGATCCTGCGAGCTCCACGTGGTCACGGACTCGGTGGCTCTGGATTTTCTCAGGTGTGATGATTGGCTATGTGGGCGGTCGTGTCATGCTGGCTAGGCAGTTGCGAGGCATTTGGCTGGTGGATGGGACATATGGACGGAGCAAGCTGACGTGGAATGATGGGCTGACATACCAGTCAGCAGGGAGGAGGAGATGGCCCGCAATACCAAGGGCGGAGTTTTGGTGTGACAGGCAGGCGGAAGTTCTGAGTGTCGAGTAGCACAAGGTCGTCGGGCTGGTAAGTGGCGGGGCACCAGGCGGAGGTTTTGGTGATCGGCGTTGCGTTAAGCGATGATATTTGATTTTTGTAATGCGTCTGCTGCGCGGGTCCGGGCTGCTTGAAAAATATCTGTAAACTGTTGCTCTCGTGGCACCGGGTTGTCGGGATTTGATGTCATGTGTACTGTGGGGACTTGTCCGTGGTTCAGGTACAATGGTGACTGTTGTGTCGTGGCTGATGGCGAATTGTTGTACGCGAATTCGATGAGTGGCAGTTGTTGTTCCCACGTGGTTGGGTCGTCGCACGTGGCTCGGATTAACTGTTCCATGGTCTGGTTTGTCCATTCTGTCTGTCCATCGGTTTCGGGGTGGTATGATGAACTGAACTGTAGTCGTGTGCCGAACTGCTGCCACAGGTTCCGCCAGAAGTTGCTGGTGAATTTCGTGTCGCGGTCGCTGATCATCGCAGCTGGTACCCCGTGTAGTCGAACGACGGTGGAGATGAAGAGCCGAGTTGTTTCTTCGGCTGAGATCGATTTCTTGCATGCTGCGAAATGCGCCATCTTCGTCAGTAGATTGACGACGACCAGGAACACGTCGTTCCCACTTGCGCCAGCCGGTAACCCTGTGACGAAGTCCATCGTCACCTGCTGCCAAGCACGCTCTGGGGGTGGTATCGGCTGCAACTGTTTAGCCGGGCGCTGTCGTGATGATTTCATAAGTTGGCAGGTGGTGCACGATGCCACGTGTCGTTGTACGCCTTTTGGGCCAGTAGTAATACCGCTGCAGCTGCTGCCGTGTTTTTTCTACTCCAAAATGTCAAGAGGTTACTCCGCCGTGTGCCTCTTGCATTAATAATTCCCTTAGTAGTGTGTAGCCTGGTACCCAGATGCGATCGGTGCTGGCTTTTACGTAATAGACCCCCTTTGCTGCTGCGAACTGCTGCGAATTTCCTCCGGTAAAGAACGGGTTTGTCTGGTAACCGTTGGTAAATAGTCTTGTGAGCAGTGGGCTGGTCTGGCCGAGTAGTATGGCGTAAATATGGGCAGTAGGGCGGGTCAGTGCGTCGGCGATGTTCGATGCCCCTTTTTTGTAGATGACCATGTAATGGAAGTTGGACTTGAGAAAGTCGAGCCAACGGACTAGTTGTGGGTTGAGGTGGGGCTGTGCGCGGAGGTACTGTAGTGATTTGTGGTCTGTCTGTACTGTCAAGTCTGCGCCAGTCAAGTAACAGCGTCAGACCTTGAACACATGCACGATCGCGAGCATTTCGCGGTCGTGTATCGGGTAATTTTTCTAGGGCGGATGCAGTTTTCGTGACTCGTATGCGATGGCCTCTAAGCCGTTGCCGAAATCCTGTAGCAGTACGGCTCCAATGGCGATGTCTGTGAGGATCTAGGATCGAGCTCAAAAAAGAGAGTTTGAATTGAATGATCACCTGGGTACAACATGAGGCTATATATAGGCTCGACACAAGGCAGGTAACCCAGGTGTTACGCGAATGTTCCGAGGGTCGCGAAGCGTCCCGAACAAAACCTTCCCGAACTCGGTAGAAAGCAATTCGGTGGCAACCGAATAGCTTGAGTTCGGTACACGTAACCTGGTTCGGTGCCGATAACTTTTATAACTATAGTAAAGCAACGAACCTAAGGAATCAAGCAATTCATGCATGCAGAAAATAAACCTAAGCTAGGAATAGCGTAAGGAAATAATAGCAAGCATGAATAACAAGCATAAGCTGTCGTACTCTCACACGTCCCCCCCTCAAAGCTGGGTGGCGTGAGATACACCCTGCTTGACAAGATAGTCCTTGAGAGCACGGCGTGCGTTGCCCATATCAGCTTCTGCAACCCAACTGTCCTCAGTGGGGTCATATCCCTTCCAGCGTATCAGGAACTCGAGGGTCTTGCCGCCGCGGCGCCGATGAGTGAGAACGCGCTCGATCTCGTACTCTGGTTCATCCTGCACAAGAACAGGTGGTGGTGGCGGTAGCTGCCGTCCCTGGAATTGTTGGTTGGGGTCCTTGTAGGGCTTCAGTAGCTGAACATGGAAAGCGTTGTGAAGCTTCCATGTATCTGGTAAGCGCAAGCGGAATGTAACTGGTGTCACCTGTGCCTCCACGAGAAAAGGACCACAGAAGCAAGGCCGGAGTTTGGATGGTAGGTGAGACAGGTTCAAGTTGCGCGTGTCAAGAAGCACCTGATCTCCGACTGCTACTGAGT